TTAAATTTTGGAGTCAAAGCATTTTTTTTTTTAATTTAATTTTTACATGTCGATCCCAGTTCCCTCTCCTTCCCTCCCTCCCATCCTCCCTCCCTCTCTTCTTCCCTTCCTTCCTTCCTCCTTCCTTCCCTCTCTTTTGCCCTCTCTGCCTTCTCACATGCACTCTAAACACCCTCCCCTCCCATCCCCCCACCCCAATTCCATGTGTAGGGCAATGCCATCCAGTTGGGGTCATGTAGATCTGACAGGTCATGTGAAGTAGGGACTAGGGCTTCTCTCCTGTCTCTAGATTAAGGCAGTTATCCCTCCATGGGGGATGTGTTCTCAAGGTCCTTTTGTGCTCCAGGGATACATCCTGGCTCCACTGTCTGAGGTCCCTTAGAGAGAGACTCATCATGATCTATCTAGAAAATGCTGTAAATACTGAAAACGGTTTCAGTGGGTGAATCATCAGAAATTACATCTGGGGCAGCCAGGACACACACTTCTGCTTCCTTGGGGGTTTATGTTATGACTTGAATCACTGTGGGAGGAAGGTTATTATACTGTTGACAGTAATAAGTTGCAATGTCTTTAGACTGCAGGCTGCTGATCTTGAGAGAAAACTGTGTGCCAGATCCACTGCCACTGAACCTCGATGGAACCCCATTTACCAAGCTGCTTGCACCATATATGAGGAGCTTAGGACGGTTCCCTGGTTCCTGCTGATACCATGCTAAATTACTACCAATGTTCTGACTTGATTGGCATGTGATGGTGACACTGTCCCCCAGAGATGCAGACAAGAGAGCTGGAGACTGGGTCATCTGAATATCACATCTGGCGCCTGAGATGGAAAATTGTAGTAATTAGAACAAGTATTTCACAGATTCAATGAAATTCTAACCAGATTCAGAAGAATGGATTTCCAATGCTATTTGGAAAATAATTCATAGAAATTAAAATTTCTCACCTATAAGCCAGAGCAACTGCAACACCAGGAGCTGTTTGGGGACCCTCATGTCTGTGCTGTGACCCGTGTGAGGCTGATTCCAGCACAGATGTGACCTGATTATGAAGGAGGGCAGTGGACATGCTCTTGGCACATGCAAATCAGCAATGACTGGGCACAGCCACAGGACTGGTTAAGTCAGTGACTTATTACACGCCTGTGCTTCTCTTTAATCTCAGATCAGAGAGGCAGTGCAGGATTGTTGAATCTGAGGAGCTTTTGTAAGGCGTAACACTGAGTTGACTAGACAAAATAGCAGCCCTCAGAGTGAGAAATTCTTATCTTTAGCAGCCCCTGCCGCTGTACACAGTGCCTCATCTTGATAACGGGTAGCCTGTGGGGTGATCAGTCATGGAAAGAGTACAGTTGAGCTTTTACCTCAGACTTGCAAGGGAATATCCTCCCTTGGGAGGAATATACAGGTACTCTTCTCTGTACAGCACAATTCTTACGCTGGCAAAAATAAAATTATAAATTTTCTATGTTCTGGGTGAAAATAGTAAAACACAGTATGTTGTGTGGTAGAATATAACAGGATACTGAAAATGGTCTATGTGGAAGGTACCATGTGTGCATGGTCCTGACATTCTAGTAAGCACAGCATTATGGGTACACTGCAGGGAGTGATGATGAAGACACTTGTCATTCATTGGGAATTGAACAATCTGTTCTTATAGCACTTTAGTTAACCTCACAAGGAGATGGCAGATTAAAAATGTTAAATGAAGGTACAGGACAAATTTTACTTGTGGCTGAAAGAATTGGTCTGATTATCAGCAAAAAGTTAAGATTTTACCGGAAATAGGTGTCATATACTGTTTATAGAAAATAAAAAATGAAAGTCATATTCCTCTTAAACTGAATTAGAGTATATTTGTTAAGTGATGGACAGATATATCTTCTTGTTTGGTAATTGGAATGACAGAAACTGAGTCAGAGCCTACTCGTATGTCATCATTCCACAATGAATTAATTTTATTACCAAATTTTGCCGGAGAGGAGGAGAATAATCTTCACACGACAGACAATACCATTTCTACATAAATATAAAAAAATAGGAAACCTTATATATCATAATATGAGTGGGTAATATGTCAGAATATGGCAATATGTAAGCTTTGTTTCATTTCAGTTAATATCCTCCTCTGTTACACATGAATACTTGGAAAGCATTCTTTTTAAATTTTAAGAATTCTTTAACAAACTTTGAACAGCTTTGCTGCTGATGAATCCTCCTAGGTTTATTTTTCATGTACACTTCAATTTATGTATTACGGATAATTTACTAATATGAAAATGTACTGCTATGTAATAGTATTCTTCTAATAAAAACATATGTGCTGCATTTTATTAAACAATCACAAACTTTAGTTAATTTTATAATTTATAATGTAAAATCATATTTGAAGGTATTAATTACACCTATTAATTATTAATTTAAGAAAAAGTATTAGATACCACATTGAGATATTCAGCTGAACAGAAAAACTCAAAGGAGAATAAATTAACCAATTAATGGGTAGTTTATAGATCCCTAAATATTTTTGAAATACAACAATATGTCTCTCTAATAAGAAGGATAATATTATAAAATATTATGTTTTCTAGTAGAGATTCCAACAGCCAAGTTGAACTCATGGAAATCCTAAAACAAATTTCACAAGAATTGGGCATTGATTGACAAAATGCAGTTCTCCAAAATCAGCATCATGGGGTCATTAACATCAGCCATGACTATTTATTTGTTATTTATTTATTTTCACAAACTGATTTATGGTATAGAGTGTTTCATCATAGGGAAGCAACTAAAATACATCAAACTATCTGAACTGAACATATAAATATAACATGTATACATACATAAAGTATGTGATGTAGGCTGAGAGGGAGCTATTTTGCATTGTGGTGTTATTCTCCCATCCCAAAGTCTTTCTGTCATGTTGTTATTGATCCCAATGACTCTGAATTCCTTCTTTTTAAATACTGAGATTGTCAGTAGACTACCTGCCTGGTCCATTTTCTGAGCTTATTGTACTGCCCTCTGTTGGTAAATTAATGCCGTCTCAAAAATTAACAGGTTTTTTTTTTTTTTTTTGTGATTCACCAATTACAGGGTTGAGCAGTGTGAACAATCTAACTCAGTTCTTTAATAAAGTTGCAGCTTTCTGACAGCACAGAAAGTTGCACTTTATTGTTGATACAGGCTTGTGTGGAAACTTTCTCAGTTAGGTGCTGATAAGTCTTCGACTATCAGAGCATTCTATAAAACTTCCTACCATTTACAGCAATAATGAGATTATATAAAACAAAATCCATGAATTAAAAAGTGCAAGGATTCAGATATCTTACATGCAAATCCTCTAGAGGGTGTGACACAAATGTAAAGAACCATGGGCCTATCCAATTATAGCAAAATTTGAGAGGTCTGGATGTCAAAATATCCATGTTCTCATATCATATCTCACACCACAAGAGTTACTTATAGTGATGTGTAGACAACGCATATCTATTGCTCTACATTGACTGATGTATCTAATTATCTAAAACACCTGATTCTGATTAAGTAAAATCAGAAGAAGAAAATTCAACAGGCTTAAATTTTGAGTAAGTAGAATTTCACTGGGGCCATTAACCTAGTTAAAGTTTATATGTTATATAAGGATAACGTCTTAATTATGTCAGGATTTTGTAAAGATTCATAATCAAGAGTCCAATGTCATTTTAGAGCAAGATTAACACTATCCTCATGATGAAAAAAGTAATAGCTTTTCACTCTGAAAAAAATATTAGCTTCCTGGCTTTGTTGTACTGTTAGATAGGTTTTTAAAATTTACTCAAGTATATGATAGCATTGCCAAGCTGAGTTGTTGTTGACTTGCAAAATTACAATTTTAATGAGCTTTCCAGTGGGATCTTTTAAGGTGGAAATGACGTGTTCACACTGGACCCTAGCAGATTCAATGGGTACCGCAATTTACATGGAGGTATCAGTAGTAACTTATAAGTGTATGTAAGAAATTTTCCTTATTGTGCAGAGGACTTTTCCATCACAGATGTTTCAGTCAAATTTGGCAAATAATAAACCAGAAGCTGTTCAGTAAATGAATGGCTAATGTTCTCAGACATGAGCTTAATGGGGGTTAAGTGCACAGTTACTTTTTTGCACTGGGCTTGGTTAAGATATCTGATAATTAAGTGAGGAATTTTAGATATTTCTTTTAAAACACAACATTATATAGTAAGCTACTAGACAGTGTCACACGTAGACAGGTAGGTGAACAGAATTCCCTGAGGAAATTCCTCTTTCATGGCTCTTCCCAGAGCCTGACATGACTGCAGCTTGAGAGAAGAGATGCATGGTACTGGAGAAAAGGGCCCTAACTCTGCCCATGCTCTTCTTTAAGTGTTCCAAGGAAAACCACTGGGAATTTTATTACCTGAGACTTTTCTGTTGCTATATGATTGTGCTTTCATTAATACATAAACAGACTGCATAAATAGCTAAGAGTCAAATGTATAGACATATTTATAGGATAACTACAGCTGTGGAATTTGTACTTCTTCATGTTAGCTGAGACATAAACCAATTAAAGCAAACCCACATAGTCATTTTTATGATTTATCTAAAATAAACTTCACTAGATAATCTTGGCTATGGGATATTTTTCAAACCAAACCACCTGGAGCCACATTAATTTAGAATTAACTTGATACTTAGAACTAACTTGGTACTTAAATGTATTACTGAAAACCACTAGAGTCAATGAATGTTATATTTAAGTGAAAAGGCAAAAAGGTGTGTGTATGTGTGTGTGTGTATGTGCATGTATATGTTTGTGTGTATGTGTTGTGAGAGAGATAGAGAGAGAGATAGAGAAGAGACAGAAGAGAGAGACTCATCATGATCTATCTAGAAAATGCTGTAAATACTGAAAACGGTTTCAGTGGGTGAATACTCAAAATGAACATCTGGGGCAGACAGGCCTCACACTTCTGCTTCCTTGGGGGTTTATGTTATGACTTGAATCACTGTGGGAGGAAAGTTATTATACTGTTGACAGTAATAAGTTGCAATGTCTTTAGACTGCAGGCTGCTGATCTTGAGAGAAAACTGTGTGCCAGATCCACTGCCACTGAACCTCGATGGGACCCCATTTACCAAGCTGCTTGCACCATATATGAGGAGCTTAGGACGGTTCCCTGGTTCCTGCTGATACCATGCTAAATTACCATAAATGTTCTGACTTGATTGGCATGTGATGGTGACACTGTCCCCCAGAGATGCAGACAAGAGAGCTGGAGACTGGGTCATCTGAATATCACATCTGGCACCTGTGATGGAAAATTGTAGTAATTAGAACAAGTATTTCACAGATTCAATGAAATTCTAACCAGATTCAGAAGAATGGATTTCCAATGCTATTTGGAAAATAATTCATAGAAATTAAAATTTCTCACCTATAAGCCAGAGCAACTGCAACACCAGGAGCTGTTTGGGGACCCTCATGTCTGTGCTGTGACCCGTGTGAGGCTGATTCCAGCATAGATGTGACCTGATTATGAAGGAGGGCAGTGGACATGCTCTTGGCACATGCAAATCAGCAATGACTGGGCACAGCCACAGGACTGGTTAAGTCAGTGACTTATTACACGCCTGTACTTCTCTTTAATCTCAGATCAGAGAGGCAGTGCGGGGTTCATGGTAGTGAGTTTGATCCTCTTTTGATAATAAAAACAGCACCAGTCTAAGAATTGCACTTAATTTTCATTTCTGTCATGTTCAGAGTTATTGTCTTGTTGTATTTACCTCCATGGCAGGGGCTGTCAGATATGGTACAATTCCAGAATGTACATAAATCCTTACAGACTCCTTTCATAGTAGATGTAGATGCTAATTTTCTCTCAGAAATTATCCCTCATGACCTTGAGGGTAAATGGTTAAAACTTGTCCATGTCGTTGACACCATATTTGTTTTAGATATTTAGAGGACATGTCCCTATAGGTTTAGTGCAGAGAGATACAAGATGCATGATGAGAGAAATGTGTAAGGAAACGAACACAGGATGCAGACATTGGGAATTATACCTGAAATGAGGTCTATAGTATATCGACAGTAGGCAGGAGTAAGGTTGTGATGGACTGGGAGGATTATGTTAGAAGTTATACATATGCAGATAACCATTATTAGGATACAGTGTGAGAAGGACACACACTTAGGGCCAGAAAATGATTATGGACACAAAGGAGGTATCAGAAAAAATAAATAGGCAGATCTTTTCATTAACTGTTTGACCTTTATATCAATGAAAGGAGTAACTCTGGTGATTGTGAACACTGATTTTTCCTTGAGAAATATAATAAGTAGCCTGCAGTAGTGACAAAATCTTCACATTCTTCCCTAATTCTGTTTATTAATTTTGTTTATTAATATAAATATACTTCATGTACTGACAGCATGTTTCAAGTTTTATTTAAACAATAAAATCATGCTCACAAACGTACAGAATCCATCAAAATGTTAATTTTTTTCATGACTGGCAGCAACTATCTTGGAAAGTACAGCTATAGGGCAGCATTATTATTTAGACAATTGAACATTACTGAAGATTATAATTAACTATTTTACTCTCTGGGTTTTATGTATATGGCCATTCTGATGTGTGTGTATAACCAGTGTGTCTGCTTCCCACAGACTTCTGATGTGGGTGACACATCCCCTGAATCCTGGATGGTTTTATACCATTATGTGTGTACTAGGAATTAATCCTCATTCCTCTGCAAGGACCGAAATTGCTCTTAACTGCTGAGGATCTTTCAACCACCCCTGAACACTAAATTTTTAGGTTGTTTATGGCCGTTTTGGAAAAGTAAAATCACATTTATTACTTTCCCCTATCCATTATATGTTATTAAAGCTCACCCAACCACATACTGACTTTCACCCTCTTTGCTGAAACTCATACAACCTTAGTATAGAACACTCACCCCCACAGCGATTATACAGAGTGTATTCATTCTCTGGTTACAAGCATAAATGAAATCATTATCATTCACATCCCAAGCCAAGAAAGTTGGTGGAAATCGGTCTTTGTGTGTGCTGTTCCTGGCCCACACCTGAGGGTAACTAATAGAGAAGCCATTCTTCTATTCTCTAGGAATTAAGATATTACTTAAAACAAATCTGTTTCCTGGTTGAATTGACAAATGTCTGAACAGGTGTCTACCTCTACCTTCACTTCTTCCATGAAATTGAAGTCTCAGAACTCACCACAATCATAATTGATCACAAAATATGATACAGAAAAGGGTCAGCTCATGTGCACACCAAATCTGTCATGCTCATACTCCACTAGGATTCTGTTTTCAGGCAGATGCCATTGCCATAGACAAATAACAATGCAGTGAAACTACAGTCTAATTCTGGTCTCCTGGTTAAACCTCCATGGCATGCATAATTTATTGTCCATGTATTGTTGTTCATAAAATTGTGTAAAATGATGATATTACACAGTGGAAATCACATTATCATTAATAGGACTAGCCTCATTCTAATATTGTAGTTTGGTACTGCAGTACTGTCTACGAATTGACTAGAGAAGAACACAGGGAAACCACACATTGTGGTGTTGTTTACTTCATGTGGAGAAAATACATGTCTTCAGATTCTTCCCACAACAGTGACAGGTGGCTTTGGAAATCATGAGGTTCACACTCATATTGGTTCAATGCCAGTTATGTCATCACTTCAAATATATATATTTGTTTTCCTGCCTCAATTCTTATCAAATGTAGACAATCTCCCGCAAAAGGGAGGGAAGCCAGGTACAAAAGGAGTTAATTTTCATGTAAAGCGCTACATATGGGTTGTCTACTCAACACACACACAGACTCACACTCATAAAATCTGCAAGAAGATAGAAGGATATTTTGACACCCAGACCTCTCAAATTTTGCTCTAATTGGATAGGCTCATTAATTTTTACATTTGTGTCAGATTCTCTAAAGGATTTAAGTATAAGACATCTGAATCCTTGCAGTTTTTTTTTTAATTCATCAATTTTGTATTACATAATCTCACTATCACGTTTTGTGGAATGCTCACATAGTCAAAGACTTATCAGCAACTAATTTGAGAAAGATTCCACACAAGCCTGTAGCAAGAATAAAATGTAAGTTTGTGTGCTTCCAGAAAGCTGCAATTTTATTAAAGAACTCAGTTACATTGTTCACACTGCTCAACCATGTAAATGGTGAATCACAATAAACTTCTGTTATCTTTTGAGACTGCATTAATTTACCAGCAGAGGGCAGTACAATAAACACAGAAAATGGACCAGGCAGGTAGTCTACTGACAATCTCAGTATTTAAAACTAAGGAATTCAGAGTCATTGTGGTCAATAACAACATGACAGAAAGACTTTGGGATGGGAGAATAACACCACAATGCAAAGTATCTCCCTCTCAGCCTACATCACATACTTTATGTATGTATACATGTTATATTTATATGTCCAGTTTAGTTTGATGTATTTTAGTTGTTACCCTATGATGAAATACTCTGTACCATAAATCAGTTTGTGAAAATAAATAAATAATAAATAAATAGTCATGGCTGATGTTAATGACCCCCTGATGCTGATTTTGGAGAACTGCATTTTGTCCTGTTGTGTCAATCAATGTCCAATTCTCAGGAATTTTATTTTAGGATTTCCATGAGTCCAACTTGGCTGACAAATATTACTTTCTACTATAAAACATAATATCTTATAATATTATTCTTTGTATTAGAGAGACATATTGTTGTATTTTAAAATATTTAGAGATTTATAAACTGCCCATCAATACATTATTTTATTTACCTTTGAATTTTTCTGTTCAGCTAAACATTTCACGTGATATTTAATGGTTTTATCATGAATTAATAATGAACAGAGGTAATTAATATCTTCAAATATAACTTCACATTTTAAATTACTAGATTAACTAATTTTCTTGGATGTTTAATACAATGCAGCACAAATGTTTTTATTTGAAGCATATAATTACATAGCAGTACATTTTCATATTAGTAAATTATTCATAATACATAAATTGCAGAGTATATAGAATATAAACCTAGGAGGATTTATCACCAGCAAAAGTGTTCAAAGACTGTTAAAGAATTCTTAAAATTTATTCCTAACTGGGCTCAATCTTCCTGGTCGCATGTGTTTTCCTTTCCTCCCCCTCGTTTTCTCCTACTTCTCTCTTCATTCACTGCCCCCCCACTTTCCCTGAGCTCTGGTGGATTTGTCCCTTCCCACTTCTGTGAGGGACTTCATATGAATCTCTTAGAATACACCTTGTATCCTAGTTCCTCTGGTGGAGCCAGGATGTATCCCTGGTGCATAAAGGGACCTTGAGAACACATCCCCCATGGAGGGATAACTGCCTTAACTTAGAGACAGGAGAGAAGCCCTAGTCCCTACTTCACATGACCTGTCAGATCTACATGACCCCAACTGGATGGCATTCCCCTACATATGGAATTGGAGTGGGGGGATGGGAGGGGAGGGTGGTTAGGGTGCATGTGAGAGAGCAGAGAGGGTAAAAGGGAGGGAGGGGGGAGGGAGGTTGGGAGGGAGGGAGGGAGAGGGAACTGGGATCGACATGTAAAATAATAAATTAAATAAAAAAATGCTTTGACTCCAAAATTTAAGTTCAAGGACAAGTTACTGGGGAAAAGGATTTCTATTTTTGTTTCCACAGAAAATGAAAAGCTGTGGATTCCTTCCAGACTAATGTGGTTTGATCAAGCCAGACTGCCTGAAACAGAGTACCAGCTGGACAAAGCAGCCTTGCAGACTACAGCCAGGATTTCTGCATCTTCTTCGAATCCCCCATAACAGCGCCCCTTACCAGCAGGAAGTAGTTTGGAAAAAACAATGCCCAAATTTCCAAATATTGTCTATAAATGTTTGTTTTTATTTAAATGGACTTGGTTATAAAAAAATAATTTTGAGTCTTCTAATTCTAATTGGTCCTGAAAATGATAAAAATCACCATTTGTACAACTATTAAAGATTTTTCAAATGGTGTTAAATTTACAGAAAAATAAAATAAAGTCATCCCAGTACCCCAAATACATTTACATCTAAGTGACTTACTGCAGGTCAGCAGAGCATAAGCAGACATGAAGCATCTTTCAAAGCCTTGCTTACTACAGGACATATACCATGGCTACAAAGAAAGAATCAGTCACCTTACTGTTTATCTGAAATGTTAATCTTACAATGAATCATAAAGGAATAACAAACATAAACTTTTTCACATAAAAGACAATCTGTCAGCTGCACTTTAGGTCTTTAGGGTTTATACCCATCTATTACTAGTTTCTTATATCAGAAGAATTGAGAGCAGGAATTGATACAAGGGAAATTGAGTTCCATGCCTGCATTTATTCAGCATTAACAGAATTAGGACCAGTCTGATTCCTGGAGAATTAAATTATTCTTCTTTAATCATCAGAATGAGCTGTAAATTAAAGCAATTTCTCAGGAGAGATCATACGGTCTTGGCTGAAAAGCATAACCGATATATAAATCAGAGTTCTGAATATTATTAACAATTGAAAGGTAGACCATAGGGAGACATACAGAATATTTCCAATGAGATAAACATTACCTACAGGCAGTGAGGGTTTTCCCCACACCAAATTCAACCATACCAGATATCAGAGAAAGATAGCTCTAGCAAGCATGTAAGATCACAACATAAGCAAGAGACATTCGAAGATCTGTGGTATCAGGTGGCCTTGCCTGATGGAGATTTATGCATCAGGGGATTGCCTCCAGGTGGCTCCACATCTTGAACCTCAACTGCCACCTGCAGCTCTTCTGACATGACCTCTGGCATCAGGGATTCTGGCACCATGGCATCTGGCAGACCTTAACATTAAGGAATTCCTGCTTCTAACTTCCATGATCTGTGACTATAACAATGCTCCAACATGTCCAGATCAAGCAAAGCTGGAATTGTAATCTAGGGTTACTTTTACATAGTGCATTAGGAATCCATGATTAATCTATATCTCTGCACATTTTGTTGCTTCTTGATAGCAAAAATTGGAGAGCATATGCATCTGTTTCTGCACATATTTAAGTGTGATAGGCTGTGCATAATTCTTACAAATGCTGTTGATAATTCACAGGAAGAAACTGTCCCAGATTTGGTACATTATTTTTTGCTGAATGCATTATAGTTTGGCATAAATCATTGTCAAACCTTTTGATACCACATTTGGACAAACCCAATTCTGTCCTTATCTCAAAACTCCCTCTAACAGGTGAGGCGAAAATAAGTGTACATCCATTCAGAATTATCCAGATTTTTTTCATCAAACACTATACCACTAAGGAAAATAGAAGTTTCTACTTTCTGATACATTTGGCTTGCAGCATTTTCTCCTAGCATTTTACTTACTCATTGGCAATGGAGACTGGAGATCCTGATAATTCTTTATGATGCAGATGGAGAAAAGCCTAATCTATATCTCTGATGCTGAATAATGATCTTGCTGGATAAGGAAGGTAAATGTAACACCTACTTCAGCCATTGTTGTCCAGTGCATTGTGGATGCAGCAACAGAATTGCATATTTTTATAACCTGAATGGAGGATGCTGTTTAACATCTCAGAGTTCCCAAATTTGAGAACATAAAGGCCATAAGAAGAAATCATGTAAGTCAGAAAGAAAACATGTTAAACTAATTAAACTGGCATCCAAATCTCCATTCTGATTCAAAGGATCATTATAGGAAGTGAGATATTTGAATAGTATGACAATTCATTAGCTGTTGAAATGTACATTTTTTTCCCAATCAAGAATATCGCTAAGGGTATAAATCTATTGAAATGAGCTTTTTATCCCCTGGTGGGTTATTTTGCTATTTGGAAGGCTGTCCACAGTTTATACTTGTGGTGATGAAGGACTTACCTGTGAACCTATATGAGTGTGAACTTCATGATCTTCAAAGAATCTTGTCACTGTTGTGGGAAGGATCTGAAGGTCTGTACATTCTCAAAAGTAAATAAGAAGCACCTTAAGGTTTCTCTGTGTCCTTTTCTATTTAAAATGTAGACAGTATTCCAGGGACCTAATACATGATATTAGAATTAAGCAATCCCAATTAGTAACAATGTATTTTTCTACCGAGTGACCTCATCATTTTACACACTTCTATGGATAATACATTATTCATGCCATGGAGGTTTAACCAGCAGTCCAAGAATTAGACTATAGTTTGACTGTATTTTTATTTTCTCTATGGCATTAGCATGTACTGGAAAATAGTCCTTTAAAAGAGTATGAGCATAACAAATTTGGTGTGGACTGGGACTGACCCAGAGTTTTTTGTATCATATCTTATGACCAATAATAATTGTGACATGTTCAGAGATGTAACTTCATTAGGGAACTGATGGTATTGGTAATTAGCTGAACACATTAAGACACTGTATCAATCCAACCATGAAACAGATATGAAGAAAGTGCTGTCTAAATTCTCAGAGAATAAGACAGATGATTGGATTCTCTATTGATGCTCCTTAAAGCATGAGACAGGTATAGCAGACATAGAACCTGACTTCCACCAGCTTTCCTTACTTGGGATATGGACAATGACTTCAGTTCAGCTTGTATGTAGAAAACAAATACACTCCATATAATCACTGAATGGATGACTGTTCTGTGCTATATAATGAAATGCGGCAACGATGAAAGTCAGGATGTAGTTAGGTGAGCTATCTCTCTATCCTCACGTAATAATTGTATGCACCTGGGAAATTCCTCCCAACCAACCTCTCAGTAGGACCATCATAATCTTATCCCTGTTGTTGACACACTTTACATCTTCCACACTTTGGTATAACACCCCATGTTTACTTCCCCCAGGCACACGTATGCATATTTCTCTCACCATGCAGCTGTACCCTACTGCTGTAGAGACATTTTCTCTCAAGATCTGGAAGAAATACGGTGCCCACAGCATTTGCAGGTTTGAAACCATTTCACATTCAAGGACATGAGGTATCATTTTAACAGAAACCTCAAAATTCTTAAAGACAATAATTTGATAGATCAAGGAATAGATGTCAGGTGCAATAATCTGAAACATCACAAGATAGGATCCCAGCATAATACAGAAAGACTATATGCATAAATACAAGAGTATAAAACCCATGGCCTTCTCTGATCTTGATAGAAGTAGTTCTTGTGTAGCTGAGATATGATAAATAAGTAAAATGAGATCATTCATCTGAAAAGATGTTTGTTACATGAGATTCCATCATCCCTTGTAAATTATGTCTTCAAGTAGAATTCTATTACTCTTGTGGGAATCATTGTGAACAAGAAGCTAAATGGGGGGTTTTGGAATTAAATCCCAATGGTTACATATACACAATCCTTCTATACCCGAAGTTCTGGGAACATTTTTGAAAGTGGGATTGAAATATTCTAAGAGCAATAGGATCAGGGAGTTTGCTGTGAGATTTTTGACTCCTAGTAACATCAGAAGATATACATGCAAAGTCTCGCTGACATTACTAACCCATATGAACTGAATAGTGAGGACACCAAAGAGTATGTGGAACATTGATTGTCCACAAAGTATTATAGACAACTGAGTAAACTCAGGAGCAGGAGAGATGCTCATCCCTGAGGAAGAGCACACCAACTGGTTGCCCATATCCCTATGATCAGGTTTCATTAAATAGACATAACACATTTTGGAACATATATGTATATGCAAGCATTGGTATGCATAAAATAGCAAAGTAATGAAAACTAGGCCATGAATTTGAAGAATAATGAAGAGCAATATTAGGAAAATTTGAAGGGAGAAAGGAATGGAGAAATGAAGTCTTAATTAAAATACAGTTTCACAAGTAGAAAAAAAAGAAGTAGCTGCCTGGCTTCATTAACACCTCTATTTACCTATTAAAGGACACTGTGAGGATTTATGTACTGTCTAGAATTGTACCACATTTGACAGCCCCTACCATGGAGGGAAATGTAACAAGGGACTTCTACATTGAACCTAACAGAAATAAACACAAAGAACTACTCAAATACTAGTGCTATTCTTTGCTATCCAAAGAGGAGCACATTCCCCACAAATAAACCTGTACTGCCTTTCTGATCTGATACACAGATCTGTAATTTGTCACCAACTTGACCAGTCCTGTGGCTGTGCTCAGCTGTGGCTCATTTGCATGTGCCTGGAGCATGCCCACTGCCCTCCTTCATAATCAGGTCACATTTGCGCTGGAATCAGCCTCACACAACTCACAGCACAGACATGAGGGTCCCCAAACAGCTCCTGATGTTGCAGTTGCTCTGGCTTATAGGTAAGAAATTTTAATTTCTATAAATAAATTTTCAAATAGCATTGGAAATTTATTATTTTGAATCTGGTTAGTATTTCATTGTCTCTGTGAAAGCCTGGTATAATGACAGTAACTGTGTAGAAATGTACCTACAATTTTCCATCTCAGGTGCCAGAAGTGACACTCAGATGACCCAGTCTCCTGCCTCCTTGTCTGCATCACTGGGAGACAGTGTCACCATCAATTGCCGGGCAAGTCAGGACGTTTACAGTAATTTAGCATGGTATCAGCAGGAAGCAGGGAAATCTCCTCAGCTCCTGATCTATGATGCAAACAGCTTGAAAGATGGGGTTCCATCGAGGTTCAGCAGCAGTGGATCTGGCACACAGTATTCTCTCAAAATCAGCAGCCTCCAGCATGAAGATATGGCAACTTATTACTGTCTACAGTACGATAACTATCCTCCCACAGCGATTCAAGTCATAACATAAACCCCCAAAGAAGGAGAAGTGTGTGGCCTGGCTCTCCCAGATATTCCCTGGGGAATCATCCAGTGAAACTGTTTCTCAGTTATTACTGCATTTTTAGCATTGCTCTTTAGTTGAGGAGGTTAACCACTCCTCTCTTTGCCTTAACTACCATTCTTTCTGTTCATCTGCAACATGACATAGAACCCATGTCTTTTCTATGTTAGCAGAGGACACAGACATTTTCTAGGAGGTGTCTGAGTTTCATTACCAGAATCTACACTTCTGTGGGCATTCCAGCGCATATTCTCTTAAATACAGGAAATAAACTTATAAACATCAGTGTTTGAGGGGTAGGGGACATTACTGAGTAAAGTTGGCAGTAGGAAGGATTCCACATTTTCTCACAAAAGCTGGAGCAAAAGTGGCAGAGAATGGGAAGGCTGCTTAGATATAATCTTCTGATGTGTCTTCAAATTTCAGCAGTGCCTGTTGATACTCTCAGCTGTCTGCAGCACTTCACATAGTGTTTGGTTTTTTTTTTTTTTTTTTTTTTTTTTTTTTTTGGCTCCTGTGTTTACTGGTCTTCTAATAAGAGTGAAGCATTATTCAATCAGCCTCAATTCTACTGCATGAGGCAGAATACAGACTTGTAGATGTGAAATAATAGAAAGTAGAGGATTGTTTTAAATATGCTTCCAGAAGTGAAACTGATGAAAACCTGATATTCCAGAGCATATATTTGGGAACAAGCAAAACACCAGAGCAACAAAAGAGATGATCTGAGCTCATCTCTCTCTCTCTTCATGCTCTCTCGGTGGGTGTAGGTGGGTCAGCAGTTCGATGTCAGCAACTCTGGATGATCCGAGCTCTCTTGGAGGTCTCTCCTCTCTGGCAGAGGGCTGGTGATGGGGCGCAAAGATCATTGACTGTGGTCTCAAGGTGTTCCAGCGTGGGTAGGCAGGTCCAGTGTGCTTACAGCTGACCCAGGAGGTTCCAAAGAGGTGGAGGGCGTGTTGTACCCACACTCTGGCCCAATGCTCACCCAGAGCAGTGGGCCCAGCAGGACCAAGGGTGAGGGGAAGATAGACTCTGGGTGATATATGGACCAGAGTACCAGGACGGTACCATCCAGGGCAAGGTTATAGGGGGAGCAAGATGCGAAGTTAAGCTAGGGAGTTCCCAGGGAAGGATGTGGGGAAGGGTATGGCCTGAACTGGTTCCAGCTTCACCTCCAGCAGAGGGCAGGGGATAAGGCCCAAAGATCGGGCGAGTGTGGCCTCAAGGTAGTCCCATGTGATAGGTGGGTCCAGTGTACTTAGAGCTGACCCATTGCACACTCTGGTGCAACACTCACCCCAAGCAGCAGGCCCAGCAGGCCAAAAGGTCTAGTTTTTGTAACTTAATGCATATTTCTGAATATATGTTCTTCCATGAAGTTTATTGCCTCAACTTTGTACTCTCTCGGCATACATACATACATACATACATACATACATACATACATTCTTTCTCTGCCCAGAAGTACCACATATACTCTCCTGCTAGCTATTGAAGTTCAGCTTTTTATTACAACAATCACAACAATACATCTTCACAGAGTGTACAAATATCTCACAACAGCAGGGTTTCTCAGTGGACAGTAGTCTGCTGAGAAGCCTAGGCTGGCCAGACAAGTCCCTGCAATCCACCTATCTCTACTGTGACTATAAACTCTGGGCATCGCCCCTTTTCTTTATTTGCTTGCTTTTTTTTCCATATTGGTTCTAGATATCAAACTGATGTTCTAATCCTCACAAGGTTATCAGTTTGTTACCCAAGGACTACTCTATATTCTGTGATGAAAATGTGGAATTACAAATCAGTGACAGAGATTTGAGCCCTTTCCACGTAGTGAGAAACTCTCTCAGCCTAGACACATCGGGGAGGTCGTAGACCCTGCTCCAAATGATATGACAGACTTTAAATATCCCCATGGAAGGCCTCATCCTTTCTAGGGAGCAGAAAGGGGATGGGATGGAGGTTGTTGGGTAGGGACAGGGGAGGACTGGAGGGTTTGAGAACTGGGATTAATACGTAAAACAAGCTTGCTCCTAATTTAAATAAAATATTATATAAAAAAGGACTTTAAACTCCCAAAAAAAGAGATTTGAAAATGACCAACTGTGAAAGAAATATCTGAAAATTTGCTAATAAATGGATTCAAGGAAGGAATAAAAGAAACCAAGTATTCTAACAGAAAGTAAAAGAAAAATACAACACTAAGTGTACTTGATCTATCCAACAGTAGAAATGTTGCTTGTGGTGTTAACACAGTTTGGAGACCTCTATAGTAGGAATATAATCCCTACTTCATTAAGAGTTAAGCTATTATTCTTGCTTCAAGTATCCTTATTACTCCAAAGACCAATGTAAAGGGCAAAAGTCATTGTCAGAAAAACTTGAGAATCTTGTCAAAAATTTTATCAATTCCCCATCTGGTGAACCAGCATATTCTCATAACAGGTTGACAATATGACTGTAAGTGATGGAGCTTTAAAGTTACTGTGATTATGACTATTGAAGGGAAGTGAGATAGGAGAATGTGAAGAGAGGATGAACTCTGAATATCACTGATGATGACATGTGTTCTGTTCATGAATGAGAAGACAGGTATTTTCCTCCATGGTGGGGCATATGAGATTCATATTTGTGAGAGGATGGTTCCAGATGTGAGAAAATCTGTAGTATAATTAAGATTATGACACAGATGGACTAAGGTAGTATAAATTATGTGTGGAAACTCTTTATGGCTTTCAATTCTGCCTCCTTTGATCTTTCCCTCTACACTTTCGCAAGAAAAAAAATGTTCTCTTCTCACCTCCAGGTTCCCTGACTGTTTCATAATGAGAGAGGGTCACTATCAACTGAAAAGCCACCTAATGGTTCCTGGTAACTTCCACTGGTACCAGCAGAAGCCAAAAGCAAGTTCTAGTCTCTGGATTAATGTCACATCCAATCTGACTTCTGGAATCAATCAACTCACTTCAGTGGCAGTGAGTCCAGGACTTCTTAAGATGTTACAATCAGCAGCATGCAGGGTGAACATGCTGCCATTTATTATTGTCAACAGAACAACAGTCTCTACAAACTATTTACAATAAAACATGTTTCACCTGGTCAGAATCTAGCTACTTTTGCCTTATAAAATGCAATATGGTCAAAAGTTTGACTGATATGTGACAGAATCTGTCAACATTTTCTGCAATAGAATCAGCTAAACTGCAAATAAGAGTTGTAACTTAATTAAAAATTATTTTCTGCAGAAGCCTCAGTATCCAGACTTTTTGTTGTAATCAACCTAGTTATCCACCAGTACATGACATATATATAAAAAAAATACTGCCTAGATCAAAAAAATATAAAATCACAAAATTTTCAGAAAAATGGATCTAAGTAAATCATATAATATTAATAAAAGTGACATCTTCTGAGAAAGCAAAATCTGACATACTCCCTCTTATGTGTGTATATGCAATAACATGCATATGTATTTAAAGTAGTGTACATGTGGGTATAGCATCATATGTCCTGTTGTCTTGTGTCAGTGTAAGCAAATATTAATATCCTGACTTGCCTGGCATGTGATCGTTACTCCTTCCTAGAAATGCCAACAAGGAGGATGGACACCGAGTCATAGAATGTCATATATAGCTCCCAATGACAGTGGTAAATATATGCATAATAAACAGTACTTCAGCAGTATTTTCCTCTAAGACCAAGTAGCAATGACTTCTATGATTCAAGAAATCCCCAGAGTTAATTCTACTATCCTCAAAGTCAAAGCACAAGCAGGGAATCGAGTCAAAACTCTTAAACCAAGGTTGTATATCAACTGTAATTGAAGCCTGCTTAGGTTGTGACCGACTTACTTAACAAGTACTCACGCAGCATGATGTGATCTGAGCACTGAAAATCAACAGTGATTGAGAGGAGCTGGGCACAGAGATCATCAATATTTCTTGCCAAATCTTCATGGTTTCATGACACACTATTCATTACATACATGATACGTTGTGTTTTCTTCCTAATGTACAAACTTCATCTACTTCTTCGTAAAAAGCCCTGGAAAATTCAACCAGGAAATTTAGTCAACTACAGAATCTTTAAACTGTTTTGCTCTCTGAGTCAAATCAGTGCTATTTGTTCCAAGGACTCTCATAAAAAGTTAACAAAGTGTGGACTTTAAATGAAGAAGATGTAATCTCACGCAGTTTTACGGAGAAGAATTATCATGTCAGGATCATTGTGCCATGATCAGTATGGATGAGGATGGTAGGGCTTCAAAGTGAGCATAATGGAGGCCTTACTAAATAATTCTTCCATCCCCTGCACAGCTCACTTCTTGTGGCCACATCACTTTATCATTCTTCTCCATTCTCATATTCCTATGCCTTTTAATCACATCTGTGTTAAACCCATTATTCAGATTCTTTTTTACTCCATCCAGGGCCCAACAGGTTATTCAGCCTACATAAGGAAAAAAAACTGAAGCCATGATACTGAAGAAGAAAGAATAAATAAAAATAAATAAGTCAATTTCTTTCTATATGTTCTATGCATTCTCCATCTCCATTTCTCATTCCCTCTCCTCTCCCTTTCCATCCCCCTTCATTTCCTCCCCCCTCTCCTCTCTCCATTAAAATCTCTTCACTTCCTCAGTGAATGAACAGCAAGTGTGTGAAGCTCAGAGGGTTCCTGTGGGAGCCTTGTTATAGATTTACATTAACAGCTTCTCTGTTCCTGTTCTCATTCGGAAAATGACAGAGACAGAGGTGATCATTAAGCATTTGGACAGTCTATATAGAATTCTTTTGGCCTATTAAAGCCTGTCAGTCTGTTTAATAAATATTTATGTCTGAGAATTTCATGCCTATATACTATATATTGATCAAATTGCCCATTGTACCTTTTTTAAAATTATTTTATTTTTATTTTACATATCGACCCCAGTTCCTTCTCCCTCCCTCCATCCTTTCCTCCCTCTATCTCTCTCTACCTGCTTCACATGTCCCCTGACCACCCTCCCCTTCCATCTCCCCTCCCACTCCACATGTAGGGTAATGCCATCCATGAAGGGTCATCTAAATCTGTCAAGTCATGTGAAGTAGGGACTAGGACTTCTCTGCTGTCTCTAGGATAAGGGAGTATCCCTCCATGGGGGATGTGCCCGTAATGTCCTTTTGTGCACCAGGAATACATCCTGGTTCCACTGTCTGAGGTCCCTTAGACTGCTCAGTCCTTCTAGCTGAGACCCATATTCAGGGGTTCTGAGTCAGTCCCATGCTGGCTTCCCAGCTATCAGTCTGGGGGCCTGTTAGCTCCTCCTTGTTCCGGTCAGCTGTCTCTATGTGTTTCTGTAGCATGGTCTTATCCTCTCTCTCTCTGCATCTGGATTCTAGTTCGACTCAGTGTTTAGTTGTGGGTGTTTGCTTCTGTTTCCAACAGGTACTAAATGAGGGCTCCATGATGGTGGGTAAGTTAGTCACTGATCTCATTATCAGGGAAGGGCATTTATGGCAGCCTTTCCACTGTTGCTCAAATTATTAGTTGGAGTCATTCTTGTCGGTCTCTGGACATTTCTTTAGGTTCAGTTTTCTCTTCAATCCTATAATGGCTCCCTCTTTTATTTATGTTCTCTCTCTCTCTCTCTCTCTCTCTCTCTCTCTCTCTCCCTCTCTCTCTCTCTCCCCCACCCTGAATGTGCCCAATCATGTCCAATGTACATTTTTTTAACATGCACTATGGACACCATTATTTTGTATAATTTAAAAACATCCCTAGAGTCAGTTTTCTCTTCAAAACTCTAGAAAAATGTCCAGAGACCTACCATAAATGCCCTTCCCTGATAACAAGATTGAAAACTAACTTATATGCCATCATAGAGCCCTCATTTAGCAGCTGATGGAAATAAAAGCAGACACCCACAGCTAAACACTGAGCCAAACTGGAATCCAGATGCAGAGAGGGAGGAGTGATAATAAAAGGGGCAAGACCAAGCTAAGAAACCCACAGAGACAGCTGGTCTGACCAAGGGAGAGCTGATGGATCACCAGAGTGATAGCTGGGAAACCAGTATTGTACTGACTCAGACCCCCTGAACATGGGTCTCAGTTAGAAGACCTTGGCAGTCTAAGAGGCCTCTGACAGTGGAACCAGGATGTATCCCTGGTGCATGAAAGGACTTTGGGAGCACATTCCCCATGGAGGTGTACTATCTTAGCCTAGAGGCAGGAAGGAGGGCCTAGTCCCTACTCCAAATAGCTTGACAGATTTTGATGATCCCTTCTGGAAGGTGTCACTCTCCCTATGGAGTGCAGGGGGTGGGGTGGGACAGGAGGGGTCAGGGGGGATGGGAGATGGGAGGAAGGGAGGAAGGGAGGAAGGGAGAGGGAACTGGGATTGATATGTAAAATAAGAAAAAGTTATATATATATATATATAATCTCTTGAACTTTTAAAGTCCTGTATCACTGAGACTCGGGGTGGAAATTATTGCCTCATAAATCAAGAATAAATTAACTCTGTCCCCCATTTTAAACAACTTTCCTCTTTTCATCTGCGTTCTGAGCACAAAGCCCATGACTTACACAATTAATCTAATTATTAAAATGTATAGATTTGAAAATGAGAGTTTTATTTTCCTTAATTAAAATTATGTATACTAGCTACCTTTTGGTTCAAATAATTTGTACTTTGGGAATAAATGATTCAAAATTTAACACATTTACATGCTTGTTCTTTTCATACTTTGGTATTGTTTCCCATCCTCTACTACTGAGTAAAGGGTGTCTCCACATGCTCTACAGCCATGAGTGGACACTGTCTTCACTCATTGCTGTGTCACATCCCATGATCTTTTTTTCCCTCTATCTACCACACACAGAGGATGTTTTCCATATTGTCCCGAGTACTCTGTCTTCATGTGCTTGACCAGCAGCGTGTCTTGAAACCTGATTAGGATCGACAAAGGAATGAAGGATAGCTTTCGAGTCAAAATCACAGGACATTTGGGATCTAGTGGGATTCTATTACCCTTTGCAACACAGGACCACAGCATGTATATGAGGTACAGCACAGGATGTGGAATTACCTGGTCTCCATAGGAGTTCTCTTTTAGACCATCATCCTCAGGCCATAAACATTCAAGAGGAGGAAGTCTTCCCATACAGATACCTTGTTCATCAACAATCATACTAAGATCTTTCCCATAACGCTTGAGCAAACTCCATATCAAGAAGTGGCTTTGCCAATGTTCTGTAAGTCCAAGGCCTTGAAGTACTCAACACAGGAACACCCTTGTTAACAGTGTTCATTAACTTCCGGGGAGATGGTGTTGCCCTTAGGAGGAGTCATTAACAGCCTCACAGGAGCAGATGAGTCATTTGAACAGACTTTCATCGTGACCACAGGACTCAAAGGTAGCATATACATTTTCAGACACAGAGACAGAAGACTACTCATGCTGACTGTCTCAGAAGAAAGGAGTGAGATTTTTTTTCTATCTACCACATACAGAGGAAGTTTTCCATACAATATTTCTCCCCAGTGCTCTCTCTTCATGTGCTGGGCCAGAGTGTCTTGAAACCGAAACCCTGATTAGGATCAACAAAGATCATCAACCAGTTATTAGAAGAAAATAAATTGGCAGTGGCATATGCTCTTCTGGCTGGTCTCTCCTGGAGAGATTAAACGGTTTAACATATATTACAATTATTCACATATTTTTATTTTCTCAAAATGTAAAAGTATATTTCTATATAATCAATAAGTAAATATACCTATCATTATTATTCTTTTACATTTCCCCACTATTGATTGGTGGTATAGAGGATAGCTGGAGCACAGAATTTTGGGGTCAAAGACCTCTCTAAATGCACATGACCAAATGAAGATGACTTCTAAACACATTCCAGTTTTTTGAAATGCATTTGTAAAAGATGGAGAAACAGGTAACACTGGCTAGAAATGTGTGTAACAAACCATGCAGGGAAAAAAAAAAAACCCACCTTCAGGACAGCAGAGGCAGTCAGTCCTCTGAGTCTTTTAGAGACAACCGTATTTCCTGTAGTATACCTAAAATGCTTTGATCAGGTGCAGAACATTGAATCCTGAGGCTAATCCAGGGTCACTTGCTGAGAAGAGAGAGCCCTGCCCTACAGCTGTGCCCACATCATCGAGGCCCTGCTGATTTGCATGTAACAGAACACTCCACTGATCTGAGAACCCTTTTATAGGCTGCTCACACCCTGTGCAGGAGTCAGTCCCCACAGGACGCAGCAGACATGAGGGCTCCCGCTCACCTCCTGGGGCTGCTGCTGCTCTGGATCCCAGGTATGGAGGACAGCGGTGCCTGTCTCAGTGTGCTCAGTGCTGCCCGGCTTGTGGCAAAAGTGAACTGACTTTTGAAGAGAGTATTATATGTGTCTTTATGTTTTGAGTTTTTTTTTCTCTCCCAAATGCCAGGTTCCAGATGTGACATTCAGATGATTCAGTCTCCAGCCTCCCTGTCTGCATCTCTGGGAGACAGTATCACCATCACATGCCAGGCCAGTCAAAGTATTAGTAATGGGCTAGCATGGCATCAGCAGAAACCAGGGAAGCCTCCTAAGCTCCTGATCTATAGTGCAAAGTACTTGGCAAATGGGGTCCCATCGAGGTTCAGTGGCAGTGGATCTGGCACACAGTTTTCTCTCAAGATCAGCAGCCTGCAGCCCGAAGATGTGGCAACTTATTACTGTCAGCAGGGTTGGAGTACCCCTCCCACAGTGATTCAAGCCATGACAATAACCACTTGGGGAAGCAGAAGAGAGAGCCCAGACTGCCCCAATCGCTGCTTCTGGTGCCTCCAGCTGCTGCGACTGTTTTTCTTTGCTCAGAAATAAAGGTTAAAGTGACTTTTACTTATACAGGAATCAGAAAAATTTCTCCATGTCATAAATCTCTGACCCTTTCCATAAGTCTAATAGTAAAAACACAGAAATCCTTGCTATGAGTTACATGAAAAAGTATCTTCCTGAGTTGTAACCACTAAAATTCATACAACACAGATGTTAACACACTAAAACCTATACACTCACCCTCACACATCCCTAAGCACACAGGCACACCAAGATGGAGTTATCTTTGCCAAAAAATGACTATCTAATTAGGATATTAGAATACTGGGGAGGCAACCTGGGAAGAGCTTACTGGTTAAGAGCCCTGGCTGATTTTCCAGAGGACCTGGATTTGATTTCCAGCAACCATGCAAATGCTACCAACCATCTGTAAGTCCACTTCCAGGACCTTTGAGCAATCTTATGGCCTCTGAGGGCACTGCATTAGTATTATACACAAATATTATGCAGGTATAATGCCAACACACATAAAGTAAAAACAAGTAAATCTTGACTATTTCAAAGTCTTAAGGGAATAGGATTTACAAAACTGATATTTGGAACAACTTATGCTTAGAATGTAGAGTTCTTTTTTGTTTATGTCTTTTCATTCTTTTCTATTTTTAATGAAATTAATAACAAGCCTTTTTACATGTCAATCCCAGTTCCCTCGCTCTCTGAGCTTCCCTTGCACCACACCAACCCTCTATCCCATTTCTTTCTGCTCTCCAGGGACACTGAGGCCTTCCATGGGGGATCTTCAAAGTCTGTCATACTGTTTGGAGCAGGATCTAGGCCCTCTCCAGTGTGTGTAGGCTGAGAGAATGTCCCTTTATGTGGAATGAGCTTCCAGAGATAAATAATGATCCACTACCAGAGGCCCCATAGATTGCTCAGGCCTCCAAACTGATACCCATGTTCAGGGGGTTTCTTAGCTACCAGTCTGGGGTTCATGAGCTCCCACTTGTTCAGGTCAGCTGTTTCTTTTGGTTTCTCCATCTTGATCTTGACCCCTTTGCTCATCACTCCTCCCTCTCTGCAACTGGATTCCAGGAGTTCAGCTCAGTGTTTAGCTGTGGATCTCCACTTCTGCTTCCATTAGCTACTGGATGAAGGCTCTAGGATAGCATATAAGGTAGTCATCAATCTCATTATAAGGAAAGGGTATTTAAGGCAGCCTCTCCACTATTGCTTAGATTGTTAGTTGGGTTCATCCTTGTAGGTCTCTGGATGTTTCTCTAGTGGCTTCTTCTGTTAAGATATCTCTTTTCTTGCTCTCCTCTCTTCTTCCTTGACTCAACCTTCCATTTTCCCTCATGTTCTCTCCCCTTCTTTTCTCCTCCTTCCTTTCTCCTGACTCTCTTCCCCTTCCATCCCCTGCTCCTTACTTGCTCAGGAGATCTTGTCACTTTCTCCTTCTCTTGGGGGCCATGTATGTCTCTCTTAGGGTTTTCCTTGTTTCCTAGCTTCAGTGTGATTTATAGGCTGGTAATGCATTGCTCCATGTTTCAATCCCATATATGAGTGAGTATGTACCATGTTTGTCTTTTTTGTGACTGGGTTACCTCACTCAGAATGGTTTCTTCTAGTTCCATCCATTTGCCTGGGAATTTTCAAAATTCCAATTATTTTTGTTTGTTTGTTTGTTGGTTGGTTGTTGTTATTGTTTTTCTGCTGAGTAGTACTCCATTGTGTAAATGTACCACTATTCTTTATCCATTCTTCAGGTGAGGGGCATCTGTGTTGTTTCTAGGTTTTGGATATTACAAATAATGCTGATATAAACCAGCGATGTAGCAGCGTTCCCCTTTCTCTACATCCTATTTAACATAAACTGTCATTGGTGTTTTATATTTTAGCCATTCTGACAGGAGTAAGATGATATCTGAGTTGTTTTGATTTGCATTTCCCTGATGGCTAAGGATGTTGAACACTTTAAGTGTCTTTCAGCCATTTTAGAGCCTGTATTGAGAAGTCTCTAGTTAGATCTCCAACTTTTAATTGGATTATATGGTGTTTTGGTGACTAGCTTACTAAGTTCTTTGTATATTTTGGAGATCAGCCTTCTGTCAGATGTGGCATTGGTGACGATCTTTTCCTATTCTGTGGGCTGTTGTTTTGTTTTGTTGACTGTGTCCTTTGCCTTTCAGAAGCTTCTGTTTCAGAAGGTCCCATTCATTGTCAATATGAGTGTCTGTGATACTGATGTTATTTTCAGGAAGTGATCTCCGGCACCAATTTGTTCAAGGGTACCTGTCGAGCACTATCGCCTTGCCTGCAAGAACGACACTCAACAACAGGATTCTTCTGCAGCTATGTTTATTGCGCGGCTCATTACAGCAAGTTGAGGGAAGACCCGAGGAGGAAAAAGGGATCTGCTTATATAGAGGAGCTGTGTCTGTTACTGACAGTTGCAGAGGAGCTGTGTCCGTTACTGACAGTTGCAGAGGAGCTGTGTCCGTTACTGACAGGTGCAGCCCACAACGCTCGTACCGGTCACCCCATGACGTGGATCCCGCATCCGCGCCTTGCTGGCTTATGGACAGGAAACTGGTGCCATCTTCGGGAATGGCACCGGTGGCTCTCTACATCTCCCCCTTTTTTGTTTCATAAACGCAACAGACAAGGGTAGTAGTCTGATCTCCAGTAATGAGATGGACATTGTAATGACCCTGAATCCTGGTAGTCAGCCAAGTCAGTGCCATACCCGTCAGGCATCTTTTCCCTGGAGGTGGGGCCTTGGACACCAACCCACATGCAACCAGACTTGCCCTTCTCAGAGCTGCTCATGGCCAGAGTCAACCCAGAGTGCAGTGCTAAGCCAAGCAACCTGAGCGTGAAGAATTTATTACAGCAGGCTAAACTAAAGAAGCACCTGTCTGCGTGCAATGGGAAAAAACCCCGCAGAACGTTAGGGCTGTTTCTGGTAAAAAAAAAAAAAAAATGGACACCCTAACCTGGTGCAATGTCATAGAAGACTCAGGGTGCAAGGGCTGTCCTATTGGACAATTAATGTCCATTTTTTAATGTGCTTAGCCACACAGTGGGAGAGGAGCCTATCTCCGTAGCAGCTAGGGCTTGAGCGATAACCACTTTGTCACATGTCTGTTGAGTACGTAGCTTACACACCAACCAGAGCAGGAGCACCACCCCACCACATAACAGCAGGCCAAACCCCATTACACCCGCCCACTCCTTAAAGTGGGAAAAAGCGGTGGAGATCCAGGAGAACAATCCTTCTGATAGAGAGGCGTCCACACGGGTGGAATTCACATGGACGATGGCCATTCAGAGTTGGTCCATCAGGCTATCAAATTCTCCTGTCCATTCACCTAAAAGATACTGAAAAAGTTGTTTAGAAAGGTTTGCAGCTCTTGTATAATTTTCATGTTGTACACTGGCAACACATAAACTGGAATATTTCCATTGACAGCCCAGTTAGGCTAGCTGCCAGAGTGTGTCAATTTGTTCCTGCACCAAATCAATTCTCTGATTGACTACCATCATCCTCCTTTTAATCGTGAATCAATGGAGGCCTGTGATTGGCTAAGATCATGCCATATGGCTTTCCATTCCAAATATTGCCCCATAGTGAGGCATGCTTTTTGTGACAAACATCCAGTCTGCAGAGGTCATAGCCATAGCAGACAGTCTCTCTACTATGAGGAGGTGTAGTTAGAATTAATGCCATAAGCACAGACAGATTCAGCCAATTCCTTAACCTGCTTATGTTCCAAAGGTTGATGAGTACGATTTCCATCCTCCTCAAAAACAGGAAACATCTGAGTTAACTGCAAGGCTGCTTTGTTCAGCTGTTTTGAATGTAGGATCACCTGGTACTCTGTTTCAGGCGGTCTGGCTTGCTCAAACCACATTAGTCTGGAAGGAATCCACAGCTTTTTATTTCCTGTTGAAATAAAAATAGAAATCCTTTTCCCCAGTAACTTGTCCTTGAACTTAAAATTTTGGAGTCAAAGCATTTTTAAAATATATAAATTGAATTAATCCAGCAACATTTCCTTTAACAGTTGTTTCCTCAGCAGTCAAACAATACAAAGACAATATAATATTGTACAGTATCCAGATTCTCTCCCTCTGTGGCTTTTTATTATTCTGTTTCTTTTCTATTTTCTTTCTTTCTTTCTTTCTTTCTTTATTTTTTTTTTGATCAGTCTCTCGGGGCTCTTTCACTTTCTCTTTGCTAGCCTTTTTCTTTTTGCGCGCACCCAACTTTTTGTCACGTTCTGCTTCTGACATGCTTTCCTGATAGCATGTCTATCAGAACTTACCTTATTTTGTTACCTGTCTGCCACAGTTCTGAATCCTCTACAGCTGACTGAAGGGTCCCCCTTTTGCCGCTGATGTCAGGTTCCCAGGTTTCGGCACCACTTGTCGAGTGGTATCACCTTGCCTGCAAGAACGATGCTCAACAACAGGATTCTTCTGCAGCTATGTTTATTGCGCGGCTCATTACAGCAAGTTGAGGGAAGACCCCGAGGAGGAAAAAGGGCTCTGCTTATATATGCTCAGAGGAGCCGTGTCCGTTACTGACAGGTGCAGCCCGCAAGGCTAGTAACGGTCACCCCATGACGTGGATCGCGCCTTGCTGGCTTATGGACAGGAAACCGGCGCCATCTTCCGGAATGGCACAGGTGGCTCTCTACAGGTACCTCCTAATTTCTCTTCTAAGAGGTTTAGTGTGGCTGGTTTTATGTTGAGGTCTTAATCCATTTGCACTTAAGTTTCATTAGTGGTGATAGATATGGATCTATCCAGTCCAGCACCATTTGTTGAAGATTGTTTCTCTTTTCCATTGTATCTTTTTAGCTTCTTTGTCAAAAATCAGGTGTTCATATGTGTGTGAGTTAATATCAGGGTTTTCAATTAGATTTCATTGATATACCTGTCTATTTTTGTGCCAATACCATGATGTTTTCAGGAGTATATCTCTATAATAGAACTTGAAGTCCTTTCTTTTTCTGTACTACCTGGTCCTCATCTATGAT